TCTCCTCATCGAATTCGAGGTGGAATCACTCCGAGTTGCAGTGCAGTCACGGCTTACAAACAGTCAGTCATTAAGGAATAGGCTGACGACATTAGAAGAGCTTGATGAGAGGAGGAGAATGAGTGCTCAACATATTGAAGCCATTCAACGGAGGAGAAAAATCACCTTTGACAAGAAGCATAAGAAAAGAACGTTGAGGCCAGGTATGATGGTGATGCTCCAGGATGGTAGGAAGCTTGAGTTCCCAGGAAAGTTTGATGCAGTATGGTTAGGGCCTTATCTGATTCGTGAGGTATTTCCAAACAACTCAGTGCAGTTGGAAACGTTGAATGGAGAAGTTTTTCCCACACGCACTGCGGGAAGTAGATGCAAGCAGTACCGGAATTGAAGCTGTCTAGCCTGCAGAGCTAGGATTCTGGAATCTTCCCCTGATGGTCGCCAATGATGTGAGCACAAAACTATGCTCACATGTCTTTTTAACCTTGTGAGAGTTAAAGTTTTAGATTTAAGCTCTTGCAAAATTATGCTCGGAGTTTTCTGGAAGTTTTGGTAAGATTAGGAGTTGGTGTAATAGCTAGTAGGCAAAGGTCCGGAACGGGGCTTTCAGGGCAGGGTCTCCGTCGAAGAGCCTTCGGTGAAGTTCCTTCGGGGAAAGGCCTTCGGCGAAACAGTGAAACCCTCATAACGTTTTCAATGTGTGACTCCTTGACTCAGTTAGTGTCTCCTTGGAAAGAACTCGCAACGCTCGTTCCAACGAGACCAAGAACTCTTCAAACGGATGAGGAATCACTGAGTTGTGAGTGTCGGAAGTTACTGATGGGAAGGGTTGAGGCAAGTCCGGCTGCGAACGTCTTCGGCTCCGGACGTCTCCGGCTGCGAACGTCTTCGGCTCCGGACGTCTCCGGCTGCGAACATCTCCGGCTTCGGACGACTTCGCAACAACTGCGAGCAGGCCTTCGGCGAACTCGGGGTCGGCGAACTCCGAGCCGGTGAACATCGTGCAAGGGCCATCGGCGAAACAGTAAACTCGGCATATCTTTTTCATTTGTTAACGGTTTGATTTGATTAGGGTCTTGTTGGAAAGAGCTCGCGACGCTCGTTCCAACGAGACCAAGAACTCTTCAAACAGATAAGGCTTCACTGAGTTATGAGCGTCGAAAGCGTCGGATAGGGTAGGACAACATCGAACCGGAAGACATCGAACCGGAAGACATCAAACCGGCGAACATCGTGCCGGCGCCTTCGGCGATAACAGGTAACAGGCCTTCGGCGGTGTGCCTTCGGCGAAGGGTAAAACAGGCATAACTTTCTCAATTCATAACGGTTTGACCCAGTTAGGGTCTCGTTGGAAAGAGTTCCACCTGGTCGTTCCAACGAGCCCACGAACTTGTGAAACGGAGCTAGGATCTGTGAGTTATGGGTGTCGGGAGTGACTGTTATGGATAAGCAAAGGTGTGGTCGTGCGTCTTTGGCGGGTGGATGCCTTCGGCGGTGCGCGGAAGAGGATTCCCTCCGGCGGAGATCGGGTGGTCAGGAATGTAGAATGTGCAGGTGCGGTGGCGGCGGTGCATGTTGTCGCGCAAGGGGAGTAGGCAACGACCCATCATTGCGAGTGTTGCAATTCAGGCGGGCTGTGGGTGTCTCGTCCTTGGACTTCGAAGTGGGGAGTTTGGCCTGGTAACTGAGAGCTTGTGGTGTACCAGGGTGTGGAGACGGAGGTGGGATTGGTCGTGGAATAGAGTGTGGGTGTGAGTGATTTTTCGCAGGGAAGTGGTGAGAATTAGGAGGGGAGTGTGGAGAGTTCGAAGTAGGAGGAAGCAAACTCTCGTGGGTGGAGAGTCGTATCAGAGAGTGAAATTTGAGTGGGATCTGAGATTGAAGTGTAACATCTGTGAGTGGGATCTGAGATCAGAGTGGAAGATCTGAGAATGGGAGCTGAGAGTGAAGTGAATTCTGAGACTGAGATCTGACAGTCGGAATCTGAATTTGACACTGAAAAGGCAAAGTTGAATCTGAGAGAGGAATCTGGTGGGGTCTGAAGGTGGAAGCTGAGAAATCGACACTGAGGTCTGAGTAGGAATTGGGAGTGGGGACTGGGATCTAGGATAGACCACAGCGGCTGTGGTGTTGAAAAAGTCACCCAGAGTTGAGTTAGATCTTGATGTAACAAAGAGTTTGTCTGCTGCCCTTGTGGAGATAGCAGACAGCAAGTTCTGGATAAATTGTCTGTGAACGAGCAAGTGTTTATGATCTTGTTGTCTTGGATACACTTTGAGCACATGGCTTGCGATCAGAGAAGTTAGATTATGGGAGTTCGAACCCCCACCCGGACTACAAACGCTGAAGGGTGGGAAGGTTCGGCTCACACACCACCAGCTCTCAGCTCCCAGGCCGAGCACACAACTTCCGTCTCCACACACGCACACCACAAGCTCTCGCACACTGGTACACTACAAGCTCTCGCTTCCAGGCCGAACACACCACCAGGTCTCAGCTCCCAGGCCGAACACACCACTTTGAAATCCATGACCGAGACACCCCCAGCCCGCCTGCATGCCCCACTCGCAATGAAATCACAATTCGAAGAATTGACCCATATGTACGTTGGAGGATAGTTTACAATCTTAGAAGTACAGAAAGTTAAAATATGCAGATGTTTCAGTGGGAAGTAATCAGAATTTAAAGCGTGCTTGATCATTAGAAAAATTTATGATACTGCACAAATGATTCTAAAAGTTATCATCTACATCTTGAGCTCGTCGGGAGAACATTTCAAACATATAATTAAGGTTTACATCATTTTTTAAGAAACAATTTCCAAATTTTTAAGAAACTTGAACGATTCAAAATTACCTTGTGCAAAAAAGCTCGACTTTTTTGTTATCATGTCATTTTTTGGTCTTCAATGGTCAAACTCGCTGCTAGTCTCCTGCTAATTTCGCTACTGAATCTAATTGGATCTAATTACTTTTTTTCATTTTAAGATATTTATCAGATTCATGTATAAAGTGGCATATTTTTTCATGTTATCTTATATTGAATTAAATTGATACAATTTATTCATTTATTAGAATAAATCTACTTTAGCTTTTTAATTTAGATGAATTCAATCAAATTGAAAAACTCTCTTGCACAAATTGAACATATCAATATTTAATGAATAGTATGTTATTTATTTAAACGTTAAGATAGCTTATGTATAAAATTTTATTTTACGTTTAGAACAAAGATTTCCTATTTTGATTAAATTTTCCCATAAACAATGTATTAATCACAAAATTGTTATTTCGATTTCTATAAATTATCCCATCTGTTTAGGATAATTTTGGTTTACGTTCGAACTAGTGTTAGATAAAATGCAAGTTTATAATTGGCTCGTCTTTATAAACTTCCCATTGTAACAGGGCGACTTTGTCCACTATATTCAACTTGTATTCGTGAAGAAAGGCTGTGAAAATAAGCCAAGTCTGCTCTACCGTTTCCTTTGTGTACACAAGTCTTAATTGAATAAGTATCGAAGTTTCTATACCAAACGCTTGTGGTGTTGAAATCGGACCTTGGTTGGGTGATAAACGATCAGCTGCGCAACATAATTTAGGATTTACGGTTTGGTTTAGCTACAACATAAACTCCTAACCTCTAACTATATATATATATATATATATATATATATATATGAATGAGAAAGAACTTTGGTGTTCTTTCAGTCCTCGAGACTACCTAGATGATTCCTCCTCAGTATGAAGGTTGAATCAAAGAGGAAACAAAAAAGGAAAGAGAAGGGAACAAAAATACTTATATACATAAAATGGAAAATAATTTCCTGAAATCTTGCTAATGAAAATTTCAGATCTTCATTTTTTCAGTCAATTTAGTATTAAATACTGAAAGATTAAGATCAGGAGTATTATCTCTATGCATAGGTATATAGTTCATATTCGTATATTGCCACATTGAGAAAAAATAAAATAAAAATATTATGCATGGATAACATGTACAAACTTATCTTCAAGAGCAAAGAATGGAGAAAAATGTTCCCGAAGAGAAACATGTCACACATGGAAATGAATGCAACTACTGAAACTCTTAAGTGTGACAGCTATACTGACTTAATTCTGATGAAAAGAAACAAGATAATCAAGATGTTTTGATATGTAACTAGCCAACCTGAGAATTTGACTAGTGCAAACTTTTTGAGTTAACCATACCACAATCCTAACAAAATTTCAAAATGAATTATCATACATTGCCTTGGGTAGGCGGTAACATCATAATCTTTTAATCTAAAGATGTTACCTTTTTAGCTTTGTAGGCTTGAGATATAGCTCTCGACAATGTAATGTTTGCGACAGAGTGTGCAAGATCGCCAGAGATTGCACAAAATATTTTTATGCTAAACAAGATGTAAAGTCCCTCTTTTTTGCTTTTTGTGTAATTTAATTCATGCCATTTGTTAACAACTCTCCCCCATTGAATACAAATCGTTAAGTATTTCTCCATATAAAAATCTCCTTATTATGGATTATCTAGTTCATTTACATGGAATATTGCGTGACTCTTATTGCTTTGATACATAAGGATAGTACTGGTCATCCATTTTGATCATTACACGAATAGGTTGATGCCGCCTGCTCAGATTGCCTCGGACTATTATCGAAGTGTCTTCCGGACACGAAGAACAAGGACTATGAAGGAGCCGGGAAAATAACCCGCCCTAATCGGGATGGGTTTCGGAGGGCCCGTAATAGCTGCGGATTTTTGCAATCCAGCCTGGCAGTGACCTGTTCTTGTGCACGACCCTGTCGGCTGTTCCTGCAATTGCACTTTTACGGGTTAACCGAGGCTAAAACGTTCAGCTCTTGTACGTAATAATTGAATATAGGAAAGTCAAACTAGAACCTACTGAGAATGACTCAAAATCAAAAGATAACTGCGCTATACCCCACACGGTTTTGAAGCTTACTGGTCTATGTGAGCTGGACACCACGTACCCTTGGCCCAAAAGGCTTCCCGAGGAAACTCAGAAACTCACCCACACAAGAAGGAATCTAGCAGAGAAGGTAATTTCTGCTTGCACATATGGGATGGTCTGGAGGGATTGGGGATTTCGATTGAGCGACATCACAAAGCTCCGTCTGAGCAATGTTACTTTCGTGCACTTGTGTTAGCATTTCTCCACTGACAAGGAGGACAATCAAATATATCACATGCTCTCCATCGTGCTTCTAGAGCGGGCGGGCGTCGATTACGCAAGTTAATTGCAATGTCTCTGTCCCCTGCGTGTTCGGCCACTTCCACGTCGAGGGTAAGGAAATCGCAATAATCTATGCAAAGTACAGTATAGCAGTTTCCGGTTTAGCAGTTCTGGAACGTGTTTGCGCTACATCCAATTTTGTCTTGAAATCTAAGAATCTCAGAGCTGCATTAGGCAAGATCGGTCCAGGCTGTTTGATTGCTGATCTGATCTGCATCTGATGTATCAGTTAAGCGAATACGTGTACGAACTTTACAACCCGGGAGTTGAATCAGTGCTGGACGTCGTATTCTTTCATGGCCTACAATTGTCACACACCTCTGAACCTCACTTATCAACATGGATATCAAGCGGTTCTGACAAGGAAGTATGGCCGCAGACTTGGCTCCCGAAAGAGTTTCCGGAAGCTCGGATTCTCTCTGTCAAGTACGATGCTTCTATCAGGAGATCAGAAAATTGTGGAATATTAGACCTCTACCTCACAGCCGAAAGTTTGATGAAAGATCTTATATTTGCGAAGGTGGGGCAGCATGCCTGGCGTCCAGTTATACTCGTCGGTCACAGTTACGGAGGCCTTGTGATCAAACAATTGTGCCTCCACGTTTCTACACGCCGCGTACTGTCCTCTGACAAACAAATGGCTGGCTTTCTCAACTCCGTCACAGGAATTTTCTTCTATGGAACGCCTCATCTTGGAATTTCATCATTCTTCACTCCAGATGGAACAAAATTAAAAGATGCTAGCCCTCTACTCGACTATGTCAAGCTGCTTTGCGCAGAATCAGCTCGCCTTCATCAAAACTTTGATGATTTACGTCGGTCCTACGAGTGGAGCATCGCTGGAGTCGGAGAATCGAGACCTACTACGTTCATGCTAGTGAGTGTGAGACTGACATGTTTGTTCTTTGCTTTTATCGTCTTGATTCTAACCTGCTGAAACAGCAGCATTAATTCTGCATCAAAATATCATAGCTAGTAACCCAGTACTTTTATGAGATTGTTCGAATATCACTCACAATAGATCTCGATGGGGTTCATGAAGTTTGCCAAATTCCATCTTCACTTTTGGAAATCCATCCACCATACAAGATTTTCAGATTACTAGTCTGACCAGTGGTTTGTTCCAACCTGTTTCCCAAGTTTAGGATGCGGAGTCTCAGAATGCTGTTGCAGTTTGCAGTGAGGTGATTGTAGTTGAGGCTTCAGCTCGGTACGGTGACTTCACTGTGGAGCATGAGGATCATATCTCTCTCTGCCAGCCCGAGAGCAGGAAATCAAATTCTTACATACGGTTGACATCGTTCCTGCAAAGTACTTACAACAATGAGGTTGCGCACACGAACATGTCCTCCATCTTGGCAACTGCAATTGTTCCTCAATAAAAGCAAAGATTAGCCCATGAGACCCTCTTTCAGATGTATGAGAGCCAAATTAGGTTCAAGAAACCAGACGAGTTTATTGTGGGCCGATAACTAGATTCCTGTGGACAAGATTTCAAATTGTGGCTTTCAAGCAAGAGGTCATTCTAGTTGAGTGAGATTTTTCCTGGCCTACAGATCTAAACTGAGTTTGGCGACTGTGATTGGATATAGGTGGACAGGAGGACACTTCGTTTGGAGGTGCCGAAGATGGCAATGAGCCTACATTCTCACTTTTTCGTAGAGGTTCAAAAAATTTTACGCAAAGCTCCGATAATAGCTCTTCATGGCATGGGAGGAATAGGGAAGACAACTTTAGCGAAACTGTTGTTCAATAAGTTGTGTGCTAAATTCGAATATACTTGTTTCCTTACGAAAAGTATGTTCAAGGGAGATACCAAGGAGGAGAGAGATAGAATAGTGTCTTCGTCGTTGTATCACTATGGCAAACAGGTTCTACAAAGAGGAGGAACGTGGGAAAAAACCTTGATGCAGAAAAAACTTCTCTTTGTTCTGGATGACTTTGACAATGATATGCATGTTGAACTTCTACAGGACGTGGTTAACGTGAACAGTTGTGCAAACAGTCGTTACATTGTTACCTCTCGAGATAAACACATTTTGAACCAGTTGGAGTTCGCTGAGTGTGAGTGTGAGTGTTACGTGTTTGATGTGAAACACTTGAATCAAGAGAGCTCCACAGAGTTATTTATGAGCCACGCATTTCCGAAATCGACCGAACCGAGTCCATCACTCAAGGATTGTATAGTCAAGATCGTCGCGAAGTGTGATGGACTACCATTGACTCTGGAGGTGATGGGCAAGTATCTGAAGGGGAAAGATAATAAAAGTGAAAGCTATTGGAAGGAGTGTTTTCACGCTCTGGATGAAGCAGACAACGCACTGCGTTTGGACGACCGGTTGTGGAAGAAATTGAAAGTGAGCTACGACCGTTTGAGCAGTGAGGAGCAGGAAATGTTCCTTGATGCTGCGTCATTCTTTAGCAATTCCAGATGGACCCTGCAAGAAGCTAAGGCTAGCTGGCGTGTGCTCTATGGCTCCCAAGATCTCCGATGGGATAATCTGGTAAATTTGTCTCTCGTCTACGAAGTAAAGGAACAAGACAGTATACAAATGCATGAGCAATTGAAGTCTTTAGGAATAAGACTGGCTTCAGGATGGGAAACGGGTGGCAGATGTAGGACTTGGACTCACAAAAATGTCCCATCGAAGTTTAATCCTTCAAACTACGATGAGAGGATCGAAGACACACTGTTCTATTCAAGTGATTCAAGACCTCATTGTAATGCAACACACATTGAGGTATGAGATTATGTTCCAATGCTCCAACTCTCAATGTTCCGTCTTCTCTCTAAAGTACTTGGAAACATCAGATATCGGTTGTTGATGTTAAACATTGAATTTCACGACAACTGAAGCAAGTCATTGTTAAATCGTTTTCTTTTGTTGCTGACCTCTTCTTTTGCCTTCTTGTACACGACGACCGTTTCAATATTCACTGCCCTTCCTGTTGGTCAACCTACTGCTTTCTTGAACCCAACATACTTTTTGAGTAGATCCTCTACCTTTCCTGCATAAATGTCTTTTGAAGCACTTCACTGTTAGTCAGCGTGCTTTTGTGAGAAATCAGCGATATAATCTTATAAAGTCGCAGCCTTACCTTCATAAACCTAATTCGAAGCACCTCCCTAGCAATCAACGCACCTGTTTTGCTAGTCCTAGAAACTCTCTTCAGGGATCAAACGATTTTCCTTTCATTATTTCGTTGATAGTACACTTTCTCTTTAACGTAATTCGAGCACCTCATTAGCAATCAACGCATTGGTTTTGCTAGTACTAGAAACTCTCTTCAGGGATCAAACAACTTTTCTTTCATTATGTCATTGACAGAACACTTTCTCTTTATCTTGCTATAGAAAATTCATCAAGTACGGTAGTCGCCACACCGCATCATTGGGTTTGCCCATCCTAACCCTATCTGGACTTTGAAAAGAGAAAAAGAGCGTCTTGTTGGCAATCCGTCCGGCCTACGAACAAAGTTGTCAAATTTGTCAATTTGTCAACAAAGTTATCAATTTTTCTGGTGTCTGTTGAGCCTGTGATATTGACGGATGCTCCTCCTCACTCAACTTGGGTTTCTTGTTAAGGATGTCATTGACTTTGAACCTGAAGACTCCATGGCCCTGATCAAATGAAATGCTACATGTTTGCTAGGTCAAGTTTAGATCATGGACTATATTTGTGGTCTGGGATGTGAACTAGGCCGTGGGTTTTTTGGTGCAGGAGGTCATAGCGTTACGACTTGAAGACTCGATGCCCCTCGACTCGAGAAATATTGGCCAGATGAAGAAGCTGCGATATTTGGATTCCGAGAAGGAGTTGATGCTGGATGAAATAGGTGGCAAGCTTCCAAAGAACGTGGCCCTTCTTCGATTCCATGGAGAAGTGAACAATCTTCATGACATGGTCGACAAATGGTTCGCGGGACGTTTGGCTGTTCTGGACTTGAATGCACCGCTCACATGTTGGCCAACAACCGTCAGCAAGTTCCAAAACCTTGAAGTTCTGAAATTCGCAGCCTGCTTCTTCGAAGGTCTTCCCGAAACATTCGCACAACTTCCCATGCTTCGCTATCTTACATTTACCAGTTGCCCGAGACTTCGTTCACTCCCCGAAGCTTTCGGACAGCTCTCACAGCTGGGGTCTTTGGAAATTGATGAGTGTTGTAATTTGGAAGCATTGCCCAACTCGTTCGGCCAGCTCCCTTGCCTGCAGACTTTCAACATCGCGATGACGTCCAATCTTCAAAGGTTGCCGGACGGGTTCGGAAATCTGTCCAAGCTACAAAGCCTGGTAATAGATGGGGGGAGAGAAATCTCAGAACTACCTGAGAGCTTCGGCCGTCTCTCTCGACTACAAGCCCTGGAGCTTCATGGTATGACTAGCCTCAAAGCCTTGCCGGAGGGGTTCGGAAATCTGTCCGAGCTACAAAGCCTGGAAATAGATGAGGTGAGAGAAATCTCAGAACTGCCTGAGAGCTTCGGCCGTCTCGCTCGCCTGCGAATCCTAAAGCTTTGGGGTATGACTAGCCTCAAAGCCTTGCCGGACTCGTTCGGAAATCTGTCGGAGCTTCAACGCCTGGTAATAACGGGGGGGGAGGAAATCTCAGAACTGCCTGAGAGCTTCGGACGTCTCGCTCAATTGCGAGACTTGAAGCTTCTTCGTATGACTAGCCTCAAAGCCTTGCCGGACTCGTTCGGAAATCTGTCGGAGCTACAAAGCCTGGAAATAGATAAGGTGAGAGAAATCTCAGAACTGCCTGAGAGCTTCGGCCGTCTCGCTCGACTGCGAGACCTGGAGCTTCGTGGTATGACTAGCCTCAAAGCCTTGCCGGACTCGTTCGGAAATCTGTCGGAGCTTCAACGCCTGGTAATAACGGGGGGGGAGGAAATCTCAGAACTGCCTGAGAGCTTCGGACGTCTCGCTCAATTGCGAGACTTGAAGCTTCTTCGTATGACTAGCCTCAAAGCCTTGCCGGACTCGTTCGGAAATCTGTCGGAGCTACAAAGCCTGGAAATAGATAAGGTGAGAGAAATCTCAGAACTGCCTGAGAGCTTCGGCCGTCTCGCTCGCCTGCGAATCCTCAAGCTTTGGGGTATGACTAGCCTCAAAGCCTTGCCGGACGGGTTCGGAAATCTTTCCGAGCTACAACGCCTGAGAATACAGGGGGGGGAGGAAATCTCAGAACTGCCTGAGAGCTTCGGCCGTCTCGCTCGACTGCAATACCTGGAGCTTCGTGATATGACTAGCCTCAAAGCCTTGCCGGACTCGTTCGGAAATCTGTCGGAGCTACAAAGCCTGGAAATATTTGGTATGACTAGCCTCAAAGCCTTGCCGGACTCGTTCGGAAATCTGTCGGAGCTACAAAGCCTGGAAATAGTTGGTATGACTAGCCTCAAAGCCTTGCCGGACTCGTTCGGAAATCTGTCGGAGCTACAAAGCCTGGAAATAGATGAGGTGAGAGAAATCTCAGAACTACCTGAGAGCTTCGGCCGTCTCGCTCGCCTGCGAATCCTCAAGCTTTGGAATATGACTAGCCTCAAAGCCTTGCCGGACTCGTTCGGAAATCTGTCGGGGCTACAAAGCCTGAAAATAGTTGGTATGACTAGCCTCAAAGCCTTGCCGGACTCGTTCGGAAATCTGTCGGGGCTACAAAGCCTGGAAATAGTTGGTATGACTAGCCTCAAAGCCTTGCCGGACTCGTTCGGAAATCTGTCGGAGCTACAAAGCCTGGAAATAGATGAGGTGAGAGAAATCTCAGAACTGCCTGAGAGCTTCGGCCGTCTCGCTCGCCTGCGAATCCTCAAGCTTTGGGGTATGACTAGCCTCAAAGCCTTGCCGGACTCGTTCGGAAATCTGTCGGAGCTACAAAGCCTGGAAATAGATAAGGTGAGAGAAATCTCAGAACTGCCTGAGAGCTTCGGCCGTCTCGCTCGACTGCGAGACCTGGAGCTTCGTGGTATGACTAGCCTCAAAGCCTTGCCGGACTCGTTCGGAAATCTGTCGGAGCTTCAACGCCTGGTAATAACGGGGGGGGAGGAAATCTCAGAACTGCCTGAGAGCTTCGGCCGTCTCGCTCAATTGCGAGACCTGAAGCTTCTTGGTATGACTAGCCTCAAAGCCTTGCCGGACTCGTTCGGAAATCTGTCGGAGCTACAAAGCCTGGAAATAGATGAGGTGAGAGAAATCTCAGAACTGCCTGAGAGCTTCGGCCGTCTCGCTCGCCTGCGAATCCTCAAGCTTTGGGGTATGACTAGCCTCAAAGCCTTGCCGGACGGGTTCGGAAATCTTTCCGAGCTACAACGCCTGAGAATACAGGGGGGGGAGGAAATCTCAGAACTGCCTGAGAGCTTCGGCCGTCTCGCTCGACTGCAATACCTGGAGCTTCGTGATATGACTAGCCTCAAAGCCTTGCCGGACTCGTTCGGAAATCTGTCGGAGCTACAAAGCCTGGAAATAGATAACGTGAGAGAAATCTCAGAACTGCCTGAGAGCTTCGGCCGTCTCGCTCAATTGCGAGACCTGAAGCTTCTTGGTATGACTAGCCTCAAAGCCTTGCCGGACTCGTTCGGAAATCTGTCGGAGCTACAAAGCCTGGAAATAGATGAGGTGAGAGAAATCTCACAACTACCTGAGAGCTTCGGCCGTCTCGCTCGCCTGCGAATCCTCAAGCTTCGTGGTATGACTAGCCTCAAAGCCTTGCCGGACGGGTTCGGAAATCTTTCCGAGCTACAACGCCTGAGAATACAGGGGGGGGAGGAAATCTCAGAACTGCCTGAGAGCTTCGGCCGTCTCGCTCAATTGCGAGACCTGAAGCTTCTTGGTATGACTAGCCTCAAAGCCTTGCCGGACTCGTTCGGAAATCTGTCGGAGCTACAAAGCCTGGAAATAGATAAGGTGAGAGAAATCTCTGAACTGCCTGAGAGCTTCGGCCGTCTCGCTCGACTGCGAGACCTGGAGCTTCGTGGTATGACTAGCCTCAAAGCCTTGCCGGACTCGTTCGGAAATCTGTCGGAGCTACAAAGCCTGGAAATAGATAAGGTGAGAGAAATCTCAGAACTGCCTGAGAGCTTCGGCCGTCTCGCTCGCCTGCGAATCCTCAAGCTTCGTGGTATGACTAGCCTCAAAGCCTTGCCGGCCTCGTTCGGAAATCTGTCGGAGCTACAAAGCCTGGTAATAACGGAGGGGGAGGAAATCTCAGAACTGCCTGAGAGCTTCGGCCGTCTCGCTCAATTGCTAGACCTGGAGCTTCGTGGTATGACTAGCCTCAAAGCCTTAATATCGGAGTTCACAGTTGGGAGATATCCTTCTGACTTGAGAGATGCGTGGAGGGATGGTTTTACCTCGTTACTGCAAAACAGAGAAGTCGGAAATGAGATTCAAAGTAGCACACACTTTGCATAGACAGAGTCACGCAGAAAGGCGCTGGGGAACGAGGGAGAGAGAAAGGACAAGAGGGAGTGGAGATCTTCAACTGACTTGAAGATTCGAACTACCGTACAGTAGATCTGCACCGAAGGCATGTTGAAGACGGAAAGAAGCTGGATCTGACTTACGTTGACATGGTTGTGGTGGAGAATAATAAGCTGGACCATTCGACTAGATGCAAGTGCTCACATTTTTTACAAGGAAGAGAAATTTCTTCCTGGGAAACATCGTCTCCCCTCGGAGAACTATGGGAGTATGTGAATAACTTCTGGTGCTAACATTCTATTTTGGTGAAGACATGGATGACGATGGTCGTTGAATGCACTGGGCAATACATGATGGAGTTAATTGACTCTGCTTGGAGCTAACGTAAACATTGTACACGGGCAAGCAAGCAAGCCGGCAAGCATAGCCTTTGTTCATAACTCTTTCTGCAATTACAAAAAGTTGCAACTTTTACACAGGTTGGAGCTCCAATCGAAAGTTTGAAGATATCTCCTCTCTGTGACAATGTGGAGTATCTCTTGAGTCTTTAGGTCCTGCAAGAGCGGACTTGGCAAGGATGGCGTGCAGTGAGGTGGGAAGACGACAAGGAAAAGGGGAAGTTCGATGCCCTGTTGCTTGCCCTCGGGTTGGGACGAGGATTTTGCATCCAAGGTCGTCGAGACGGAGCGGGAGGGAGTGTCACTCAGACTCTGCCGCTGTAGTTGCTAGTTTCCCTGCCGCGGTGGTGTTTTCCAGCATTGCCCAAGAGGGGCGGGTGGTCTTGAACGCTCTTGGTCGATGGCTTCCTCGGCGGTCTTGCTGTTCGCGGTGTAACGAAACGAGCCGGAACGCGAGGACGTGCAGGGGCCCAAGTGGGAGTGGTGGGAAAGGTAGATAGGGCATCGGCAGGCGAGGAAAAATTGCAGGTTTTCTTTGTGCGCTTGTGTACAATCCATTGCGATCCGTTGTGGTTTAGAGCGACTAAATTCATGCTCTGCCGCTACCTTGTGCTAGCTGGTGGTGCTAGAGAGAGCCAGAGCCGGGCGCGAGCAAGGAAGTACAGGAGCAGGGAGTTGGCGACATGGCAGCTGTTGTAGCACGGGCATCGGTGGCCCTGTGCAGCAGCAGCAGTAGAAGGTGTAGCGCAGGAGCCTCGAGCAGCGGTTTGGTATCAATTTCCCTTGCAGGTCCTTCTTCAGCTGCGCCAGGGCGAATATTGGGTAGCTTTGTCGAGAATTTGTTGCTTTGTAGGATAGCTTGGGGCAGAGATTTCAAGGCGATGATGAGGACGAGAGGTTTGTTGTTGGTGTCGGTGGTGGTGATGGAGATGGAGCCTTCAATTCCCGAGTCTGACGGAATGAGGATGAAGGGCATTCAAATGACAGCTGACAGAAGTTCTGCCTTAGGTCTCTATATAGTGTGGAATCACCCCGTACAAATGTAGGGTCTTCGTTTTGAGCAGGTCAAAGCCTACCATTGTTTCGTACAATGGTTACGCAGTCACCCTGAGGATATATTTAGGACGAAGTCAACCCGTTCACGTTAGGGCCGTATTTTATCCAGGGATTATTTTGGTGGGTTCCTGATTGTCGTGAAGTCTTGACTGAAAGTGGGCTCGAGCAATGGCCAAAATGTATAACAGCGAGTACGAAGTCAAGGACGAAGAGCTCGTGGATTTTGAGGAATCAGATTATGGTTTTGGATCCGACGAAGAACTGGAGATTGACGATGAGGTTGTGCAACCGCACCTTGAGAGAATGCTGTGTTGACCTCTCAGGAAGGCAAGCAGTCGGACACAGAGCAACAGGTGAATGGAGGTGGGCCGCTGCATTCAGGCGAACAGGAGGTTATGTTTCTGAATGAAACAGAGAATGAGAGGAGAGAAGAAGCGGAGAGCGGTGAAATTGAAGAAGAAAAGGATGAGAAAGATGATGGAGTGGTGATGCAGCCTCTTCCGAGCTTTGTCGTAGCAAACAACAACCATTCTTGTGAGGGAAGGGTAAGGGAGACTAGAAGAAAGCACCGTAAAGCTGATTTGGAGGATGGCGAGCTTGACGACGCGGCCACGATGATCCCAATTCTCTTTCTCTTTGTCCTTTATCTTGCTCCTCCTGTTGTGCCTACTACTACTGCTATCTTTCGCCCTTCTTTTTCCTTTGTAAACAGCCCCCTTCTCGCAAGCTGGACTTGGTTCCTCCTCCTCCGAGCCGCTAGGCTCTTCCTGTCGTCCCTGAACATTACATGTGGCTAGTGTTGAAAAGAGTTCTGTGACGCCATCTGCTTTCTTAGAAATTTGTGGTTGAGCATCAAGTCACCCTCAAACTTAAAAGCATGTCTGTTTACATGAAGCCAGTAAATTCAATCTTATGTGTTAAGTCTCTCTAGATGCCTGCTAGTTTGGTACCAACAGCCCCACACAGCAGTCCCTAGTGTTTGTGAGTGAGGGGCAGCAGCTTGTGCCTCTTTCAAATGCAAGCTCATCGTTCTCAAACTTGAATTGACTTTGTGACATCCAATGTTCCGTCGTGAGAAGTGTCAACTTCAAATTATATGAGAGATTCACCACAAAGCTGTGCTATTCTCTGTCACAACTCCATCACTCCCAGGTATCCAGAAAGAGAGTTCCTAGCGTTGTCTCCTTTCGAGTTTCAATCACAAAAGTACTACTTTTTCCCCTTACAGTCCTGTCAGTCCAATCATATCTCCGTGTTTAGTTTTTAGTCTTCCCTGTTCCAATCGCCTGTCGCAAGGCATATGGTCTCTAGATATGTCAAACGTATGCGAGAGATTCCTTGACAAGGTTGAGAGAAATACAAAAGTGAGAACCCATACATGTTGTGTGCGAGTTCACAGTTGGGAGATATCCTTCTGACTTGAGAGATGCGTGGAGGGATGGTTTTACCTCGTTACTGCAAAACAGAGAAGTCGGAAATGAGATTCAAAGTAGCACACACTTTGCATAGACAGAGTCACGCAGAAAGGCGCTGGGGAACGAGGGAGAGAGAAAGGACAAGAGGGAGTGGAGATCTTCAACTGACTTGAAGATTCGAACTACCGTACAGTAGATCTGCACCGAAGGCATGTTGAAGACGGAAAGAAGCTGGATCTGACTTACGTTGACATGGTTGTGGTGGAGAATAATAAGCTGGACCATTCGACTAGATGCAAGTGCTCACATTTTTTACAAGGAAGAGAAATTTCTTCCTGGGAAACATCGTCTCCCCTCGGAGAACTATGGGAGTATGTGAATAACTTCTGGTGCTAACATTCTATTTTGGTGAAGACATGGATGACGATGGTCGTTGAATGCACTGGGCAATACATGATGGAGTTAATTGACTCTGCTTGGAGCTAACGTAAACATTGTACACGGGCAAGCAAGCAAGCCGGCAAGCATAGCCTTTGTTCATAACTCTTTCTGCAATTACAAAAAGTTGCAACTTTTACACAGGTTGGAGCTCCAATCGAAAGTTTGAAGATATCTCCTCTCTGTGACAATGTGGAGTATCTCTTGAGTCTTTAGGTCCTGCAAGAGCGGACTTGGCAAGGATGGCGTGCAGTGAGGTGGGAAGACGACAAGGAAAAGGGGAAGTTCGATGCCCTGTTGCTTGCCCTCGGGTTGGGACGAGGATTTTGCATCCAAGGTCGTCGAGACGGAGCGGGAGGGAGTGTCACTCAGACTCTGCCGCTGTAGTTGCTAGTTTCCCTGCCGCGGTGGTGTTTTCCAGCATTGCCCAAGAGGGGCGGGTGGTCTTGAACGCTCTTGGTCGATGGCTTCCTCGGCGGTCTTGCTGTTCGCGGTGTAACGAAACGAGCCGGAACGCGAGGACGTGCAGGGGCCCAAGTGGGAGTGGTGGGAAAGGTAGATAGGGCATCGGCAGGCGAGGAAAAATTGCAGGTTTTCTTTGTGCGCTTGTGTACAATCCATTGCGATCCGTTGTGGTTTAGAGCGACTAAATTCATGCTCTGCCGCTACCTTGTGCTAGCTGGTGGTGCTAGAGAGAGCCAGAGCCGGGCGCGAGCAAGGAAGTACAGGAGCAGGGAGTTGGCGACATGGCAGCTGTTGTAGCACGGGCATCGGTGGCCCTGTGCAGCAGCAGCAGTAGAAGGTGTAGCGCAGGAGCCTCGAGCAGCGGTTTGGTATCAATTTCCCTTGCAGGTCCTT